TAAAACTCAGGATCTCTTATCTGACTTTCATGTTAAAAAATTTTAGTCAAACAAAGCCATCGAAGATAGTCTCTGTATTTTGTTAACAAAAAGTCAAAACTACGCCCATTTAGTTTAATGATTGACCAATAAAAATTAAATCTTTTCACTAATAAAAAAAATTACACCATTAAATGTGGCACGTTAGCACTAATTAAGGTGGTTGCATATTCTCTCTACTTAAGCGTGCCTACATTTTTATAATAATAACTGTATATATAATTTTTATATATAACTAAATGAATAAATTTACTTAATATTATATAACTATCAAGTCATATTAGTGATTAATTACTTAACTTTCAAATTAATGATGGAATCATTTCTCGTACTTTTGTAACATATCACGCCAAATTTCATGCATGACAATCAATCTAATTAATTTCATTTTTATATGAAAACAACTGTTATATTTATTCTAAAGTAATTAACAATTATTTTAAGATAAAAAAAATCTCAAAATATGTGTTTTTCAACCATGCCACCGCAAATGACTTATGATGAGGATATATATATATAAAACTTAAAATAATCAAGTATCTCTTGAAAAGGAAATGGTATCTGGATTTGGCTATTAGTTTCACATTGTAGAGTAAGGGAGTGCATTGAAAACAGGAAACATATCACTATCCATTCGCCGCATTGGGCTCTTATATTAAGTAGAAACTCGTAATATATGATGTAAATTAGCAGGGGGAGAGATGAACCACTGAATGAAGAAAAATAAATAAATAAAATAATGATAAAATAGATATGCAAGTTTTGGTAGATTTTGATTGATCAGATCCATGCGCAACTTGTGCTAGAAGTCGACAAGGATGACCCGATCGAGCCAAGAGAGGAGGCAATAACCACCGTTTCCTATATCCACAGGTATATTCCAGAGGTTAGTTACTTCGATATGATGAAATTTTGTCAATTTTAAAGATGTAATCGTAATATCTTTTACGATTAAAAGTCTTAAATTTAAATTGAATGAGCTAAAATATTAGAAATGTTGCCGTTTATTTTTATAACACTTTTATATGTTCAATTCTAACTTGACAATCTACTACGTGCCAAAAGGATATTTTGAAATGTGACAAAGAAATAGAAAGAGATTGATAACATGGGATATTTGACTTGGTCTCAACTCAATCTAAGGTCTAATCATCCCTAAATAGGGGAGAGGGGGTATATATGGAATTCCGCCTATATACGTAAAAGAAGACGTCCTGCCCATTTCCTACACAATTTTTTCTGTGCAACTGATTGCATTATACCATAATGGATGGTTCTTATTCTTATTTTTATTTTTAATCTATTCTAATTTGAACATGAAATTTTTAACTTAGAATTACAAATTATTTAAGCTGATTTGGTTGAAATAATAAATATTCTTTAGTTAAACTATAAATATAAGATAAAACTGTGAAGTTTCTTTAAGAAATTGAGATGATTTATTCTTTGATTCCACTAAAATCAAAGAATATATATATATATTTCTTAAAAACCATAATTTCTACTCAATTAAGAGGTGATTAGAGAGTATGTAATACTCACCTCCACTTAATAATTTGTATTCCCAAATCATCTCAAGGTGAAATAAATATGATAACTATTAGGGTGTGTTCAAATTGATTAGTTAAAAAAAATCATCTTTTTTCACCATCTATTCTTATCAAATGAAACATATTATTAAGAAATGAATACTGATTAATACACTTTTTGATTTAATTTATTATAAAATATATTTATTAAAAAATTATT